TACCAACATCTGGTGAAAATTTCATGTCATTAGCACCTCTAGTAATATATTAACTGAGAAAAATGTTGACGTGTTCAATACTTATTTTACCTGCTGTATTTATGTAGCTTCAAACTGAGCTGGACTCAAAGGGCCAGTTGTAATTAACTTTGGCATTTTGTGTTTAACATTCACTAAACAAGAAACATCATGCTCCTCCTCTCATTGCTGTGACTGAGTACCGCTAACAACAACTGAGCTCTACCTGGTAAATGTGAAATTACAGTTCAAATTTACAGCTTCACCTAGTGGTGGGATGTCATCATTTTGTGGGTAAAACTTTATGGTCAATGCTGGTTTCAACGCAGCACACGTTTATTTTATAAAAAAAGTTCTTATTGGTCACACAAAATGCTGTGGTCGGCCACATTTGGCCTGCAGACCTGAAGTTTGATACATGTGCTGTAGACTGAATGAAGTAGGCCTTCAAGAAAATTATAGAAACAAAAAAAATGTGTGGTAGAGCTTCACTCAAGCTGTGGTCCTTTTAGTACTGCAAGTATTAGATGTACTGGTAAAATCAGAAGATTATTTAGGTATACAATAAAATGTGTTGGTGTGAAATGAAGTGTGAGGCAAAGGTTGAGGGTATTTCTTTTGATAAACCCAAGACACACATTAAATCCTATTTAAATCCTTATTTGACTGAATTAAAATATACCATTTTAATAATAAAACTTGCAAACTTCAAAGAGCTTCATTGCAGAGCAAAGAGACAGGCAGAAATAACCAATGAACCAGTGCTTCTAGATGACTATGTGGATTAATTTTAGACTTTAATTGATGCCAGCTGTTCTGCAATCAAACATTTCATGTTAATTTTGAATATCCACTTTATCCTGGTGCATAATAAACAGGGTACCAGCTGCCAGTTCATAACAGGCCAGTGCTCACCTGTGGTCAATTAAAAATCACTAATTAACCTAATATGCATGTTTTTAAGGCTGTTTGGTGGATGAGGTCCAGAGGGGAGATCAGAATCTCCGGGTGGCTTCGGTTGATCAGGGAGGAGGTGACGGCTGAGTTTGACAAACAATTACGGAACGCGAAAATCTTGAATTTGGCGGTGAGCATAAGCTGGATT